CTGGGGAATTCTGGGAGTTGAAGTCCACCCATCTTAAAGTTGCCAAGGTTGAGGAATCCTGATCTAAAAGAAGGAACTAGGACTGAATTTTGATAAATAGTTTTGGTTCGAGAGAACAAAGAGTGGAAGGCTATGAATGTTAATAATTACGACTGTGACGGGATAACTAAAATTGTCTTAAACTGGAACAACCATAATTCTGTGTTGGCATCAGCTGGCATCACTCAGGAAGGGCTAGACTAAAATCCAACTGGGTTCTAGACTAGAATTCTTAACTATCATGAAAATAGCTCTTCAGTACTATTTATGTATTCTCATAATGGCTGGATTTGTGTAATACACTAATCCATAACTGGCTTGTTTAATTTGGGCTTTGGGCCAATCCAGCTATTGTGGTTTGTAAACCATTGGTTGTGTGAACTACTCATTGTGATTTCTTCAATAGTTTGTTGTGCGCATCAGCTCATTGTGATTTACTGAGTAAATGTTGTTTAAGAAACAACTATTTTAGTGCAATGTATGAATCCAGTCATAGTACACTATGCAATTATTTCAAACTGTTGCATCATATCCTTAATTTCACATGCTAGCAAAATAATATTTAGGATCATCTAACGCAGATTACAGCTCTACATAGAAAGGGAAATGCCAGATATTCGAGCTGTATGATGGAATGTAGATCTAACTCTAGGAATGGGGAGAGGAGGAACCAAATATTAAGGAAGGAGATAACAGTTTGGAAAGAAGAAAGCATGAGAAAGAAACTCAAAATAACCCCACCTTGATTTTGTTGGACATAAGTAATAAACAGAGGGAAGCTCTGAGAGGCTTTCAAGATTCTGTTATTATACTGTAACAACTATAAAGAGAATTCCCAATTGTTTCTGTTCCTTGACTTGGCCTGCCTCTAAGAGCTGTCAAACTGGTCTTGGAAAAGTCCAAGGAATACCAAAAAAAAAAAAAGTGAATATATGCTTAATTGAGTACAGAAAGCCCTTTAATTGTGTCAACCATGTCAGATTATTGAATGTCCTTAGGAAAATGGGAATCCCAGAACATCTTTCTGCTGTCATGCGAAATCTATACACAGAACAGGAAGCCATAGTCTGGAGAGAAAATGGTGAAACAGATTGCCTCTGGGTCAGCGAAGGAGTGAGACAAGGCTGTGTAATCTCTCCTTATTTATTCAATCTCTATGCTGAATATATATATATATTAAGGGAAGCTGGACTGGAAGAAGATGAGTGTTTTAAAATTAGAGGAAGAAACATCAGTAACTTGCACTATGCTGATGACACTACTCTGACAGCTGAAAATGCAAAGAATCTGCAAGCTCTAGTAATAAAAGTCAAAGAGCACAGTGAAGAAAGTGGGACTAAAATTAAATATAAAGAAGAGCAAACTAACGACAACAGGTACAGCAACCAGCCTTAGAATTGGCAATGAATATATTGAAGTGGTAGATAGTTTCTGCTTTTTAGGATCAACCATCAACTATAAAGAAACAAGCAGTCAAGAAATATGTTGCAGGCTAGAAGGCCTTGGGAAAAATATTCAGATGCCATGATGTGTCTATACCTACAAAGTTCAGAATAGTGCAAGCCATGGTTTTCCCTGTGACACTCTGAAAGCGAAAGTTGGGCTTGATAGGATAGGAAGAATACTGACACTTTTGAATTTTGGTGTTAGAAAAGACCCTTGAGAATACCGTAGACAGCCAAGAAAACAAACCAATGGATCATCAAACAAATCAACCCAGAGTTCTCACTTGGGACATAAATGACCAGACTCAAATTATTCTACTTTGGACATATTATGCAAAGGCCTAGCTCTCTGGAGAAGGGTCTAATTCTGGGAAAGGTGGACAGAAAGAGAAGAAGAAGGCGACCAGCAGCAAGGTGTAATGGGCAGTAGGAATAACCTTTAGGATCAGGAGGAAGAGCCACAACCAAGACAACAGTCAGATAAAAGAAATCCAATGGGTGTACTATTGGAAGTCCTGAAAGATCAGGTTAGGGGCAGATCATCATGGAGAAAATCTATCTATGTGGTCATTAAGAATTGACAGAGACTTGATGGCAAATAATTGATCAATCAAACCTCAGTGATCAACATCTTATAAAAAAAGAATAAATCTGAAAAAATTGCATGATTTGATTAATTTATAATCTTAAAATGAGATGCACAATTTTAAACAGAAATATTGAATATGCATCTCTTCTTTTTGTGTAGACAGGGATGATCTAATCCTAACCCTAACCCTAGCAAACAACAAAAACTGAATTAATTTCTTGTGTTAAGACCTGGGGAAAGTGGACAATAAAATTATACTAGCATTAATTATTAAAGACTGCTCTGTAATTTTCCAATTTCCTCAAAAACCTATAACCAAAATGAGTAACTAAATGAGCTTGCCACTAGAGATAGTCATGTACAAATTTAATTACAACCTCGTAATATAATCCAGAGAGACTTTGATTAATATAATGCAGTTTTATAGTTGTGTAGAATCATTTATGAATTGTTTTTATAGTTAATCCTTAATGACTTACCAAAATAAATTTAAACAGACTTATTTCCATCTTTTCTGGACTTCTAAATCCAGAAAATACAGATTTGTGATATTAAGACGTTAATGTGTTAATATTACAGAGTACAATAATACCATTGTCCTTGAAAAAAATGAAAAAATGAATGAAAAATGAAACCCCAACACCAAACATTAGCTGTATTTCCAATAATGTGTCCAGTAAAGCAACATCACCAGTTTGCCGTCTTGTAAGTCAGTAACTTGTGATTGCCACACCCATCATGGTAGCCATTTTGTGATAGGTAAATATAACTTATTACAGCTAACGGCAAAATGTGATTAACACCAAAAGCACTGCCTCAAAATGCCCCTCCCAAATTGAAATTACAAATAGACTTTGCTACAAAATGCTGCGTTGAATCAGGATTTTATCCAGCCAGATATGTCCTCCCAAAATATTCCATTCCAATCCAACTCATTCCATTCCATCAATCTGATATTTTTAGTTTCCCCCTTTGGGAGCAGGAATAACAGGGAGATGTTGGATTACTGAGTTGTTTCTACTAAATAATTGCCCTGCATCCTAAGAAAGCTTACTGCCTATAAGTACAGTGAAGACACTGGTTCATTTCCAGTGTCAAAAGAAGATTAAAATAATCAGATTCTGTATAAATAATGGAGGAGGTGTTACTTCGTCCTTTCACTCAACTATCTGTTCCAACTTCTGGGACCTCCTTGCACTTAGCAGAGTCGATGAGTTACTCAGCTTTTAAATACCCATTTAAACCAAAATGTTGAATTTATCATTTTATAATTTTGAAGATGTTTGGAGAGAAGACAAGTGTCACAAGGAAATGTCAAGGAGGATACCAAGCTGAAATGTTATGAAACATAGCGTTCAAAGAGACACATACCCCATAAACACTTATCTGTTCACGAGCAAGCAATACAATTCTACATAAGAAAAGGCAAATTTCCCAAACCTCATCACTCAGCTGTGTAAATTGAGATGCTAAAGAAGATTTATTTCATACATGCACACTCTGGAGAAGAAAATAAATGTGATTTTGCAGGGTCAATAATTCAAAAGCAGATTACAGCATGATGTGTACACAAATGCTGAATTTATTTCTATGTAGAGAACATTTTTACAATATTTACCCATATCAA